AAATTCCGACGTTTACTCTGGAAATAGTGCGGGCGATTGTAGGTTTTGCTAATAGGACGCGTTTGAAAGTATCGTAATTATGACTATTATGTGCATAAAGACGGTGATTACATCCTTGCGCCATGCGGGCCCTTTCTTTTCCTCTTTTCGCGCCGCCTAGCAGAGCAGCGGTCACGCTTCTAGCACGTCCCGAGAACCCGTTTCGAAAGAAAGAGAACTTGCTTCTAAGTGACACGCGCGGAATACGGTTTAAGGTCCACCTAGTTCTCACGACGCATTTCGCCATTGCCGACCTAACTGCGCGCTCCCTAATCACGTCGCGACCGGATTTAATGCGACATTAATAAACCCGACGGACTACATGCTTTCCACGAAATGCATATTTCGGCCACTTTTACTTTGATTTGTCGGTCAAACATTAGAAAACATAGTAACGCAAACACCTTCTTTAACTCGAGAGAGCGTATTTTATTATATTTTTATAACAACAAAAATAATTGTTTGAGAAAAATAATTTTGATAGTTTTTTAATTCTGATTAATTTGACAAATTTATTTTAATTAGAATTGGCTGGAAAGCAATTATTTTAATAAAATTTCAGTATATTATTTAATCAATAAAAAGTTAATATTCTCAATCAGAGTTGCTGTTTTTCAATAACTGAATATTGAATAGCGATTTTATAAAAGCAATTTAAAAAAAGTTAAATAACAGGTAAAATAAAGCTATTTTTGGCGACAAATCAATTTCGCTTCTTGATAACGTATCACAGTACACAATAAATCTTTTAAAACCAAAGGACGCCATTTGCACGACAATACATATTCAGATGTTCAACAAATGTAGTTTGCATGTTCTTTTCAAGAAGTACAGTTACACGTAGCTCAATAGAAAGTCATCCTGCAATATGAAATGATTTTTTTAAGCACGATATAATCTAGAAAATTTAAGTGCAATCTAAACCAATCAATATTTTTAAACAGTTATACAACATTGCGTCATGTCGATTATAAGATGAAGAATTTCATACACTTAAGGACATCGATTTCTTTTTTTTTTAATGTCAAAAGTTTCGCAGAAGAAAAACTGTAATTGAATTTACGTAAAACATTATGTGCACAAGATTATTACATGAACCGCCATAAAATCTCGCTTCTAAAAACCCACTCACTGTAACTGACCGATAACTGCCTAATTCATGCGTGGTCCAGCCAGTTTGTTAGCCTTTCCGGTGCATAAACAACAAGCCATTTCACGCGAGACGCATCCGCAGGAAGAAAGTGACTCTCGCAGATCGCGCGGCCGCGATAGCAACGCGAAACATCACTGCGGAATGATTTACATTTCGCCAGAATTTCCCGCACTTTTGCGATGCGCTCTCCGTTCGCAGCGCCACTGATCGAGATCGGAGTGGCGGGATGAAAAAAAAGGGGAGAAAAGAAGCTGATCGTTTGTTCTGCCGCCGTTTTGTGCGCGCTAACGATTATTGCATGAAACAGAAAGAGAAAATGTGGAAAGTGAAGTACAAAAGATACAGCTCTTTCCGATATTTTTCATCATCGACGAGAAATCGAAGATGTTCGCGAGATACGCTAGACGAGACGCGCACGTCCGCGATTTGGTGAAATTAAGAGAAGAAACCGAGGAATTATAGAGGACCGTGACGACATCGTGAGAAAGTTATCCGAGATATTGTGTTACCGCGCAGCTGTTTGAAATTTGCGTCTCGAGTTTCGATTTATTTATCGAGAGCGGGCTTTCGTCGCGCATCGATATTTCTACGCGCTTCATCCGCGATCTGTGTCATCTTTTCTTTCATCGCGATCGATGGGCGTTTTAGTGTCTTAAAATATTGTCGAGTACAAAAAGAAGAAATATCGAATGTTTATTTGTGACATACAAACATTTGCATAGAAAGAGAGAAAAAAAGTCTATCTTAATCGTATAACGTCAGAGAAATAAAATAATAAAACCGAACGTTTTCCTTGCACAATAATTATTTATTTTTCTAAATTTTATTTCTCGCGAAATTAAAAATACTGCAGTCTGAAATGAGTTCAAGTATAGATATTGTACTAGAGAAGATACAATTAACATAATACTCGAAGGAAAAATTGACGATTGATTTGTGTCACGCGACACGGTGAAAGCCGGAGATTCGCGTGATTTAATAAAAAAAACGTCACGGAACGGAGATCTCGAGGGAAGCGTTTGCGCGCTGCATTTACATCTGTACCTGCCCTTGAGGCACTTACACGTGTGTACGTTTGAAGAAAGTAAATGGTAGATCGCGGAGCGGAGATACCAGCGGCCGCGCACTCATTATATAAATTGCGGACGAAGCGTTTAATTCGGGCTCGCGCGGCTAATACAGCGAATGAACAATGCGGCAATTAAACAGCGCTGCATTTACGCGGCGGGCAACAGGAGCAGATTGTTGCACGATTATGAATGCTGTGTGAATTCGAAGAAGTTTTCACTATCTCGCACGGTCAAACTTCCATGCACTTACTAATTCGCGTCGGCCGGCCTTTAATTGCAAAATGAGCGAGTACGTGACGCGATAAGCTATCGCTGGCGCTCGTTTCCACCTTTCTTATTAAATAAAACGCGACTCGATTCCGAATTGACTTTTGCGGATTTTATCTAATCGCCGTGCGCTTAAACTCGCATTGTTCAGCGAGCGAGAGAAAAACAGAAAACGATTGCGATTAATAATTACGTCGCGCTAATTGAGATCAGTAAAATCGAAGAATTTAAGTGATTATTGCTCGACCATAAACAGACTATTGATTCAATGTTGAATAAAATGTATGACTTTATTGACAAATAAATATTTATTTATTATATAAAAATGTATATATATAACTATGTAATTTTATTGGGAATTAAATCATTTTTATTTAATACGCAATATTATTACTCGTATATATATTTATATTCGTACTTTCACTCAACATAAAATATTCTGATCTGCAGCGTGTTTTCAAAAGAAACAAAAGAAGAGATAATTCAACAAATTATAGAAGATTATGCGCAAATCTGTTCCCTGATCGAAGTTGTTCTTATTACCGAGAGTTACTGTGTGCGGAGCTTTTGAAATGTTATAATCATAAATGCAAAATTGCGACGAAAGATTACGAGGAAACGCGTAGCGCCTTGTATTTGCATATGGCACGCACGCATGTGTATGTGTTGCAATTTTAGTCTGCAACACATAGAGAGTGAGAGAAAGATGAGTTATCGAATATAGAAAGGACTTATGATACTGCGGTTCGACCCAGAAATGTAAGAAATTGCAGAATCGTTCAACCGAAACCAAGCTAATGGCGATATCGTTTCGAGCGCAAAATAAAATATTTTTGCGCGGAATAATAAAAGTACGCGAAATAATTTGTATAATCATTTCGACTTGCTGTTATTTATATTACATGAAAAATAATTTAGATATTCAGATAACCAAAGAATTTTTATATTTCCATATTCTTGTATTTCCTTAATTATTTCCCTGCTAAATAATTTCTGCAGAACAATGATGAATGAAACGTAAGATTCTATATTATTTAATTTTTCGCTTCAATAACATGTATTGTTTATAAAAATTTTATGATACTTTTTACTGTGCTTTTGCATTCTAGAAAAATGTAAAATGGTAGCCGCGTATAACATTCAAGCGAATTAGAAACACGGTTAAAAAGACATTTAATTATCGCCGTTCATAATTAACGCGCGCTCACGTTACCGAAGTGCAACGATGTAGTTTCCACGACACAACGAGCGACTCGAATTGACTGCGCCGACCGACTTACGACTAGTAAATTTCAGGTGATTCGACATAAGATGGCGAGCGTAAAGGAGCGCGAGAGAAGCGCGATAAGATCCGAGATACCGTCGCGAGTGCCTCCGGCCGATCGGTTAAACAACAGTACAGGAAGCGCGAGAACCGCCGCCGCGATCGGAATATCAATCTCGTCGCAATACGCGAGAAATCATCGGAAAGAAAAGAAGGCGCGAGTCTGTTCCGATGAGTGCATTCACTTAGCGATGCGAGGAAAGAGGAAGTACGCGAGAGAGTACGAATGCATGCTAATTTTCATCGTTCGCTCGTAACGACAACGAGAGTTCGTCCATCGACCCGGTAATCGTTCACGAGATCTTAGCAGAGTTCACGATCTCTATTCTATACTCGCAGCTCGTATAATAAATCTCTCACACGTGTGCGAGATTAATATAGATTATTTTCGTGCATGATATTGATTGTAAAACATGTGATTGATGACACATTTGAGAAAACAAATGCGAGTTAAATATATAAATACGCGTGCAATTTTCAATCTGATAAATGGAAAAATATATAAATTGTGCCTTGAGAGATAGAATCGACAATTAAACGAAAAATTGCATTTTGTTTTATCTTATCGATTTTTAACCAGATAGATACGGCTTATTCGATTGCTCCAGCTGGTGGACGTGTGAAGTTCGATGACGCGATATAACAAAGCGAAATACTTCTATCCAAATTTCGTCAATGTCATCGCAACATACGCGCGTCTAATAATCGCAAGTTAGAGTTTACATGTCTAAGATACCAAAAGAGCGTGATAGGACTTCGGTGAAAATTCCTTCTGGCCGACACTTCTCGTTTCTCTCACGTTATCAACGATTTGCAACGAAATCGCGCACACTCGCTCCTGCCGACGGTAACATTTCTTTCTCCGTCTCTCTTGATTTCGCACGATTAATTAGAATTACTAATTTCACGAAAAACACCGAGAGACTGGAGCGCAGAGACTTCCGGCGGCTCGTTCGTTGGCACCAACTGAAACGACGACTGTCGCCGTCGACCCGAAGGTCAGTGGCGATCGATCGGGATTTATGTAACGAGAAGCCCTTCACCCGATCGAAGGGGGCGGATACGTAAAACGTGAACGTTCACGCTTGTGTCACGCGGAAAACACGTCGCGGCGCGGTACTGACTGATTCGAGTCGAGCTGCGGATCCTTCGTTCGAGGCCTCCTCGTCCCGGTGGACTTCGACGGCAGTAGAAGTGGCAAGTGCCGGTCGGACCAAGTGGTGGAGACCTCAGGTACGTACGCCGACATTACGCGCCATGATTACAGCATTTTCGAGCCGCTCCGAGAAGAATTAATAAGCTCCGTTTCGAGTTGATGCGAGAGTGATCGAAATCCAAAACATATACGAACATATTCGATACTTGCAAAATTTAGCTTGAAAGTGCAATAACTGATTTCTTAACATTAATAAATTAATATCGTAATTTAGAATAAAAAAATACTTTTAATTATTTAAAAATTGGGTTTTTGATCTGCAATCCAAGAACTAATTCGAGTTCAAAAATTGCATCATTTGTGACATATTAATTATATTTTACAATATAATGTAGCGATACAATGTTGCGCTGTGAAGAGTTCATGTTTCTAGATTTTCGCCGTAAATAAATAAATAAGATAATTTTTTATTCAATTAAACATAAATAGCCTTTTACGTCTTTCAAACGACTCCTTGATTGAAATATTTCGACGTAAAGAAAAATTTACACGAGGAATTATTTTTATTTCTATTTCAATTCGTATGAATAAGTGAGATTTTTCTCCGTCGAGAGAGTTTTTTGTCCTTCCGAGAGCAATCAACTCTATATTCACGCAAGAATTTATCACTGACACGAAGATCAATGGTCACGAGTAGTTTAGGTTCCTATGTGATTTCTCCAGTGGAGGGTGTCAAGTCCCGTACGTCACTGAGCGCTTAATGGCCCCTGACAAGAAATAAAGAGAGGCGAAGTACGATCGAGAAGGCTGATCTACGAGGAATCGGACGAGGAGCCGCGCGCTAACGGTGCTACCCATCTCCCTGCTTGCCAGCTGTTGGCTGGAGCAAGAGTACGAAAGCTCTCTCGCCCGATCTCCTCTTTCATCCGTCATCTCTCGCCTAACATCGTCCGACGGGCAGCAAGAAGAGGAAAGAGATGAAACGATCTCGCCGTAAAAAAAAAAAAACCAATACCAGCATTGTGAACTTTGAAAGCTTACAAATTTACCTCGCGAGATTTGCATATTGTATCACAAGCGTTAACGGATCTTTTTGTCGGGAGCGCCGAACCGGTTTCGAGTTTCGTTGTCGCTCGTATCGGAAAAACTATGTCGCTTGCTTTTTACGCTCGAGCGAAATGCAAAAACCCCGAGGGTGAACTAATATTGGAAACCGAGCAACCGATACGGATCGCGCCGATCGCTTCGCGCGACTCTCGTTGCAATTAATGTTGCAAGTCGATGTCTATTCCGAGAAACGGTCTATTTTCTCTCGGCCGCCATTGCTCTCTGCCATTCACCTACAATCGCTCCTGCTCCTTTCTCGAGTTTAAGCGAGAGCCTTTCATAGCTCGTCGTCGCCGCGCGCAATTGTCGCGGCGCAACGATTCGCGATCATCGCGCGAACGTCGAATCGGATCATCGAGCGCTGCACTTTCGAGCGCGGCGATGTTTTGCTTCCTTCATCGCGGAACGAATAAACGATCGTGACCGGAAGAGATGGGATTTATGAAAATCGAGTTTACTGGAACGGATCCGGCGCACTGATCCTTGGTAACCGACATCCCGGTCAAGGTGGAAGAAGTTTCACGAAAAACAAGCGAAAGACCGCGTCACGATAAAATTCCTAAACTGTATAATGCCGGAATATTAAGATATGGTAATGAGATAATATGCGCAAAAGAAGCTACCTAAATAAACGAATAACAAGTATTACTGTTATTTCACGTATCGAAAAACTAATAAAAAAAAACTAAATCTCTCACTTTTATCCCATTTTCTTTTAATTATCGTATCTCCGAAATACCGTTATTGTTTTCGACTTACAGTAATTTCGATTACTCTATCGACTTATAATATTCAATTTTATAAAAATTTTAGGTCGTGGCAAGTCATTAAAATAATATTTGGCAGTGACGTCCATCTACGACGTAAAGACTCGTAAGGATTCTTTGGCCTTGTCGGCATGCCATGACGCGAAGGCATATTGCGCGCGATGTAACAAATGCCAGGCAAATACCAAACTGGCTTAGACCGACGGTCTGGTGGGTTCACGTCGCAAATGTCAAACCGCAACGCTGTGATTAGAGGCCGCGTGACCTCTATAAATCTCGCGTCAATTATCCGAAACTGTCTCTAAATGAATGAAGCCGAGGGACGTAAAAAAACAAAGCATTTATGGTATACACGTGTGACGTTTTCATTTGCGGAACGAGATAAACGACTAGCAAATCTTTCGACCGAAATGATTTATCGCATTCGATTAAATATCCTTCATTACTTGATTATCGCTTCGAGGTCGTAGACTCGCGTATTAGCGCTCAAATCACTTCATTAATCCGACTTTATCCTGACATTGACAAGAGAGAAAGAGAAGAGAAGAAAAATGTTCTTTTGTCTATCATTAATAAATTAAAATTATCTTATCTCTTATCACTATCTTATCTCGGAAACATAGAATACATAAAAAAATAATATAACATGAACATGTAAGTATTGTGATACAATATATTTTTATAAGTTCTACCGTAAAAAAGTTATTTTCAAAAAGATTCAATCCATCAAATCACCCATCAAATATTATGTCTCGCATTTACTATTCATAAAATACGTTTAATGAGATTAAAATTCGAAATGTGTCTCTTAATTTGTTTAGTTGACACATTTGAGTTTCTTCGAAGAAAAGAATCGATATAGCTTGCATGAATCGAGTCAACGAACTTTGCCACTCGACGTCGCACTCGAGTCTCTTGGAATCCGCAGCGCGCTCGAAAAAAAAAGAAATTTACGTATTCATGTGAATGGTGGTTGACAGATAATAAAATGTGTTAAAAGTTGCTAAATAAATTTTTATACCATTAATGCTTGCGTAATATTTGCAAAAAAATTGCACTGTTACGTGCGAGTTAAAAATAGTCTATTTGTGTAAAACGTACGCACAGAATGATAAATATATAAAAATAATGTGTGAAAGCAAGATATAAATGCGTAAATATAATAGCCAATAATGTCAATTATCGCTTATTGAATCAAGGTGCATCTCTAGAGTATCTGACAGAGACATAAATCTACGATCTAATGCTGCTAGAAAAAAAAAAAAAATATTCGATAGCGGAGCCGCGAAATGTAATCATCGATCATCGATCGACCAGCAAAAAAAGGCTGGTCCCCTCGTTTTCTACTTACACAAGCATTTTCTCGCTCGAGTGCGCGCGAGACATCATCGCGAACATTAAAACACGTTTTACATAATATCTAGAAAGCCTCCGTTTAGACATATATTTAATTAAAAAATACGCCTGACAAACGCAGATAATATATCACGGACAAATAAGTTATAATCAAAAAATCAAAGATCAATAACTGTCATATATTGCTAAAGCGTATGAATGCCATTGCTAATGAAGTTAAGAAAGACATTGCTCCGCTCAGAAAAATAATAATATAACTATTTCAACGTGAAAGTCTCAGCATGCATTTTTAAAATATTTTAATTATGATTTTGTGTATCAAAATAATTAATTTTTTTACTATTAGTGTTTTACATTTTATTATCATTATTCCATTTTCTTATTTTAATACTGTTTGCAACTATCATCATAAGCTGCAATATTCTTCTTAAAAGTTTGAAAAATATCTAAAATTTCACTCCGACAAAATGGTGACTCTGTAATTTGCAGTAGCTCCAAGCTCTATGGAGATGACACTAACGCCCTCTCTAGTGCATAATGCTGCATTTATTGCATTGCATGATGACACGGTAAATGTACCTGTGCAACTATTTAGTACCACCTGCAATACCGACGAACGTTATAGCAAAGACCTTTTTCTACCGACAAAGTCCGCGTTTCTTTAATGCGCCGGTTGTCCACTACGATGAGTAGCGGCGTTTTTGTTCGACATGTTAACTTTGAAATGTAAACAAACGAGATAAAGCCACATGGTCTTATAATATGCTTGCGCTAATATTAATTGATATCAATCTTCTTCAAATTAAATCACTAAACAATTATGATTTTCATGCAACGAGACTCGAGAATCAAAATAGACACAGTCATAGTATAAGAATATCACTGTATCTCCAACTGAGACGAAATCGACATTGATTATAAAAAAAAAAGAATAAAAAATCTGGGTTGGAAGAAGATCGAGATGTGAATTAAAATATATTATAACGGATATCAAATATATTAAAACCAAAGGTTAAATTTACCAATCTTGCATCTACCTAAATTTGACTGGCAAATACAACTTTCTATTGTCATAATTTATCAGTCATAATAATAAATTATGCTCTCATGCAGATAAAACGTACATAAAATACTACTGAGATACTTTATATCGATTGCAAACAATCAATTCCAGATTGATAAATGGTGGCATCGTAAAAATCCGCGACATCTTTCACCTACGTTATTGATGTATCTCCAGCTACAGTAACTCGGTTATAGATATAATAAATTTATTGTTGCCAATCTGTCTGTCAGTCCGTCACGCGATAACGAAAGCGAGCCAGTGAGCGAGGAGCAGGAGAGGCGCGTCGAAACGCTCGGCGTTTGATCCGTGCTGCCAGGCCACGGGCCAAGTAACAGTAAACTTTATATCGTGCTCTTCGCTATTACGCCGTCTCCCGCCTCTACTTGTTCCTGCGCGCTTGCTATCGAAAGATGTTTGCCTTTCCCTCCACCTCCCGCCCGCCGTCGTATACTTTGTGACTACGTGACGTCGACTTTGATTTGATTTGATTTACGTCTTTGGCGTGGATGAGCAATTGCGGCTCGAGGAGAATACGTGTCCATAACGTCTCTTTTAGGCGTTAAATCACGAATATTGATTTCGTAATCGACTCTATTACAATTTTAATTCACACCTCGATCTTCTTCCAGCGCCGATTTTTTATTATTCTTTTTTATATAATCAATGTCGATTAGAATCTCAGTTGGGGATACAGTGATATTCTTCTACTATGACTGTGTCTATTTTGATTCTCGAGTCTCATTACATGAAAATCATAATTGTTTAGTGATTAAATTTGAATAATAGATTACGAAGTTGTGTGGATACAGCGTATCGTGCACAAAACAATAAAGTCGTGATAACAATTTAATTGCCAGCTGCAATCAATTTCTCTTTCAACGTGAAATCCATTGACTTTCCACCAACAGCGCGATCGTAGCGAGGACGTACAATAAACGCAACGCGTGTTTTTAATAGCAACGAAAACTGAGTCAGTGGTAAACAACAAAGAACCATGATTTCACGGAGCGGCGCGGCCCGATACAAACCGAGTGTATTGTTTTAAACAGTTGTCGTTCGCGATGAAGTCTGCAATAATAGTCGCTGACAGAGATTCATCGCGGAGCAGAGAGAAATAATTGTAACGCGGGCAGAACGTGCGAGAGAGAAGTGAAACAACGAAGAGAACAACCATAAAAGGGACACACAACGCGCATTCCCGCGTTCGGCTTCGTTCTCTTCGTCTCTTCCTCCTCTCTCCACGGTCCCGTCTTCATTGTCTTATATTTCGCGGGACGCTCACGCGTCGAAAGATCCGTAAACGTGTCACGATCCAAAAATATCCTCCGCTGGACGACTAATACAGATTCCCCAGAATAACTCCCTTGTTCATTGCGTTTAGCTACTTTTTTCGCGTAAAAGAAATTAAGTAAAATGAATTTTTGCATCAGAAATCAAAGTCTTTCCTTGGATAAATATATAAAAAATAATAATATTAACATTAACATAATCATTAATTATTAAATAGTGATATTAATGCAAATATTAATAATTAATAATAATCAATGGAATGAGTTCATACAATATTAATGCTAATATTAAGCTTCTATGGCTAAAAATAATTCAAACAGCCCAGCATTAATAATTTCATTACAATTTTCGTTATTAATATTACCTAAAGTGATTATTAGTTTCTATTATTCTTGAAAAATGTTATAAAATTCTAAAAAAATATAGTTTATTAAATACATACTATTATTACATACTATTATCGTTCCAAAATCTAGGAAAGTATTGTAAATTCTATGAGTCAATATTAAGTAAACTTACTTTAGCGATAAGATACAACTGAAAAATATTAGAAACCATTTCCTAAATATAATAATTAACGATAAGTTTTCGATATGACATATCGTTCAAAGTCCTAAACAGTGAACGAAATATCAGTGCACTCGCACGGATGCTTACGCACCACAAAGAATTTCCTGTTAACAGTTTCTCACTGGTGGATTCATATCTTTGTTCCTCATAGCATCGCGATTACGATGTATGAGCCACACTTCTAGTTTTCCAAGCATTATAACAAATATACAGGACGTTCTACTTTTACTGCATTATATTTTAATGATGGACTTTGTACCTAATTTATAAGCAAATTTTCTTTGAAACAAGATATTTGTGGTTTTCGAGTGGAAAATAAAGAAGCGATTTTTTAATTAAAAAATTGAAGTAAACTTTGCTTAAGCTCAAACTCCATAACAAAATTTACTCACAAAATATGCAATATTAAAAGTTGAAAAATTGCCGTAAACGCTGATGCGGTTCTTTTTAATATTTTCGATGGAAAAAAAGTGCCGGACAAAAAAAATCTTCCATTAAGAAATAATGCGATAAAAGTGGAATAAATGCCTCTCTGTATATTCAAAGCTGATAAAATAAAGCACCGAGATACGCCGCAGCCTTTTTCGGTCGAGCGACGACCTTAAAAAAAAGTTCCCGTTATGAACGTGGTGCAGCGGTACCGCCCGCATGCGAGGTGATAATACGAGTCGACTATAACGCGTAATCAACAAAAGTCGGTTCCCACGTTACGCGCGATTCGTTGGCAGCGCGCGCGCACAAAGGGTTATCTAATAGCGCGCGGGGACAAGATTTAACGGGTCTCCTTCGGATCTGCCATTCGCCACCTGTTGCAGAAATTCGCCGGTCGATTTGCGACATTAGCAGGATATCCGGAGGATGCGTTTTTCTTTTCCTCGCGTCGCGCGAGCGAGACGAATGGCAGAACCGGTGGGCAGGATATCGTGCACTCACCTTTGCCTGCTGGCTCTCCTCCGCGCCGCTCCTCTCCCCATGCTTCTCGAACACTGCGAAGCGGTTCTAAAAATGGAGAACCCAAATTAATACACTACACGAGTAACCACGGGAATATGCTAAAGTGTCGAATAAATAATCCGGCATAATCTCGATGTGACAAGCGAGTCGTTAGCGCGCCTCGCATCTCCGGGCGATGTGATAACGATAAATCAGTCAGCGGATTGCGAGCCTGAATATATATTTTTACGCGCGGGCGCGCGAAAGGCTAAGTGCAAGCGTGACGTAAGAAACGAAAGTCGATGACAGATTGTCACCGCGATTTTTGCGATGCGCGCTCGACGGCGGTGAAAGTTTATCGCGAAGCGACAACAAGAGGATCCTTCTGCTCTTTCGTCTCTCCTTACCCCGATTCTATTCCTCAGAGTCGACACGATCGAGGACGCGAGCAAGACTCTATTGAGCATTTTTCGCACTGACCTCGGCCGTCCTGCATCGCTGCTCATTTTGGAAGAACACCGCACACTTATCACACCTCGTGCACTGACGCACCGTAATTAGTTACCGTTACGTCATTCTCCGCAGAGGAATGACAATGAGACAAAGAGGGCGCCGGGCGTGACGAAAAAAAAAAAAAAAAAACGACGGTCGAAATTCGACGACTATCGCGCACCGCTCCGCCGTGACGCGCGAGCGATACTAAAACCACCGGCCGCGGATCGAAACTGCGCTCGCGACGCGCGGACCAACGCCGATACCGAGAATAAAAAGTAACGCTCGTCGCGGCGGCACTTTATCTCACCTCGGTGGTTTCCTGCTGATATCGCTCGCCGGCAGCCTGAAACGCAAAAGTGAAACGTGACGTCACTTATACACGGAATATATATTTATAATATGTGTATTAGAAAAAAATGGGTGAAATGCGCGGTAATTATCCGCGGCGAAGCTATCACTGCCTTGCTTTCTGTCTTCATTAAGAGCGCCAACTTTCTTTCGGTCACGCGTGTATCACGAACGGATCCTCATATTCGCGAAATCACGCGGCGAAAAGTGAAAATAAAATTCATTTTGTGTTTTACTCTTGTAATTTTTAAAAACAACAACACGAAATATGATTGCAATTAGAAAATCGGCGAGATGATAAAAAGTAATTATACAAATCTCTTAGAATAATAGATGACTTCAAATAACGGTACAAAACTTTTTCTACATAAAAAGGTGTGGAAAAGAAATTTCGATTCAAGGTTGGCGAATAAAAAAAACCCGATCAGGCGAAGTCGCACGTGTCTCTCGTTCAACGGCCGAAGACTATCGTCTCCACGCGTTCATTCTAACGAATTAATTTGCTGGCTAGATACTCACGTGCGCTATGCTGGACGTATCCGGCGAGGTCGCCGAGGCCAGTTGGTTCCGGTTCTCTATGACCGTCTTTATTTGCTCGAGTACCTGCGGACAAAACACGAATAGCGGACAATAATTACACACGCTGTAACAGGCAACTGTGTCGTTTCCACAGATTTTATTTGACACAGAAATATAACCTTATTTGCAAAAAAAAATGTCTTATTTATCTTTTCTTTTAAATTAAATATTACAAAAATGTTGAAAAAGCGCAAAATTTAATTTTCAGCGTGTGTCATATGAATAGAATGCGGGATATTTTAGCACACGCTATAAAGAGCAAAAATATGTCTTTGACGTGGAAAAAACACAGTCATAAAGATTATGCGCTCCACGTGAAATATTTATCGTTAAAAGCGGCCGCGAATAATTTTTATGCGTGGATTTACGAGCCTTAAAAGGCTGCGTTAAAAGCTTCCGTGAATTACCCGAAGGGATATCCGGTGCCTTTGTGCGTTGTGATGATGATTGTACTCCTTGTGCTCGATGATCTCGTTACTCTTCCTGACCTGCCTCCGCTGGAAGAAGACAAAGAAACATTCACAAAGCGGAGCCGAGCCGGCGCTGAATTTTTCGCGACGTGGGGTTTTTCACATACGTGAAAACTATTCGTGACTTTCCTCAAGTATCAGGACGGAACGTGCTCCTCATTTTTGCTCTCGAAAATAGAAAGGATAGAAAGGATCGTCCTACATTTCGTCGTGTTCTGATATGAATTATCTGATAATTATCGATTGCAATAATTGCGGTCATTGAGATGCATTGCGGTTATAATTATCACCATTCTAATCGAAGCGCAAGGTGTAATTTGTCGACATATCCATTTCGAGCGGGACATAAAATCCATTTTCGTAAATTGCGTTTCGCGGAATCTAATTAATATTTATCGCGTGTGCCGCGAATGAAAATTTGTATCAGATAGTTCTAATCGAATATAACACAATTTACATAAATATCGAATGAGAAATCGTCCCTGTCGATAGTTACACAAAAATCGTATTAACAATAATTGCTAGCATAAAGAAGCGAACAAATAGCCGATCAAATTCAAATGCCACTTCAGCCGTGATTAATATTACTTTAAATGGAGTGAATGTAATAATAATGCTTTAAGATAACTGTTATTATGCCCGTCGCAGACGATGCGTGCTACGTCGCAAACAAGTGGAAACAATAAAGAATAAAGATACCAATCTTCACTCGCGCGAAAGGAAGAATAACGAAGGAAAGTAACGGTGTGCGCGACGAGAGAAAGAAAAAGTAAGCCGCGCTCGTTCGAGGAAATGCAAAACGCCAGTCGCCCGGTTAATTAGCCCGTTCGACAATTACGTCTGCGGCGCGTCGTCATTTTTATGCAACACAATGATAACGGCGATCGGTTCACTCGGCTACCGCGTATGCCAATTCCGTGGTGCGAAAATTAGAAGACAAGTCACGAGTCGATCGTGGACATGTGTAATCGCGCGAGTCTATTCGCGCGTGCTCGGAATGCCTCGACTCTCTCGAATGTCCGCGAGATAAGACGAGAAGCACCGCCGTTTTTCTCTTGCGGCCGTTCACGCTTCACGCAATAGCGAGCACGACTCACGAATCTCCGCGCTCGTGTATATAATTCGCGGATATGTAAATGATATAAGAAGATACGCGTTGGTACTTGCGTCACAATTAACGAGCTCTTAAAGATAGTTTCAACGCTGCGCGGCAGTTTCACTGGCTTCGGCGGAAAGGAAAACTTTACGAGTCTCGCGCGTCCTTCGCGCGCATTATTAAACGTCGAATTAATCCTTTAAGTGTGCAAAAAATGACTTATCATATACGAGTCTATTCAAATATAATCGCTTTAACTTTCTATTATACTTTCTACAACTATAAAATCAACGATTCAATAATCTTACGGCGCATATATAATACAAATTTTTTTCCAAGATTTTTTAAAATTTTACGCGAATATGAAGAATCTTATCATCAATATTTCTTTAGAAGATTTTTGTATGTCTCGATTTTAATCATCCAATGTCAGAGACCAGCTACAAGATCTCCTGAGAAATATGATAAAAGCAGTTCGAACATTTGCTTGAACAGAATCTGAATGTACTGACCTCGAGCGTCGCCAGGTTGGCCAGCGAGGAGAGAGGACGAGTGTGAGGGACTTCTCCCGGGAAAACGCTATCGTGCGACACTGACAATTTTACGGCGCCTCCTCGTAATTTTATGAAGCTATCCTCCACGCCGCTTCTGCGGAGGAATACGCTAAAAAAGTAAAAAAAATAGGGATGAGTTCAACAAAGCTAAGAATTATACCTACTTCGGGAATAACTTCTTCAATATATTATTTTTTTGTAAAACTAAAAATTAATAATCATTACGAAATAAAATTCGTAAAATTTACAGATATATAAAATAAATTGGTAATTTATAAAGTACAAAAATACGTATATAGCTTAAATTAATATATTAAGGGAATCCTAAAGTGGTCTGTTTTACCTATTTTTTTCAAATACACTAAACTTTTTTTTGGCCGTGTAAAATAAAAAGTCCTTTTCTGTAAGTAAAGTACATATGCTAATACACTACGAACGGTCGATTTGAAAGGATTTTTCAAGCCACGCAGCCAAAAAAAAACGACGAATTTTTATGAAAAAAATAGAAGGT